CTCTTAATCACTTCAATATTCACAAGGACGCGAACTCTCGTAAGGATGTCGGTCTTTAATAAGCGGGGAACACAGACTCTTGCATAACGCATAACACGTAATGCATAAGAATATGTACCAATCGAAGTTCTCCGTTTCTTTCCCTTCCATGTAATAGAAAACTCTGGTTGGTTCAATTTCTTATGCCTCATGTGTTATGCGTTATGCAAGAGTCTGTGCTCCCCGTTATAGTATCTCGTCGGTGGTATGGGTGATATTTCAACATAATAACAAAATTATAAAATTTACATTGACATATTATGTATACATGCATATTCAGTATTGATTCCCAATTTATGGATGTAACACGGATTCGTACATCCCTTTTCTTTGTGTCTTTCTGCTATGATTTTATCGACAGTGTGAGAAAATGGATGTAGCCACGTAGTTCCTAAATCGAAAATGGATGTATTGGCGATAGTGTACCGGCGATTTAAACGGTAACAGGAAAAAGGCCAGCATGGCTTCTTTCAAGTTTCTCTCTGGTCACGATTAGAACGAATATTTTTTCGTGGTTTAGTACTTCAGTTTGCTTGTGTGATCGGACGAAATATTTTGCTCTGATTTGTTTACGAATATCGGTGAACATTGTAGAGTGATTTTTGAAGATGAACATTCGGAGCTGTGCGTAAGCTAGACGTGTCAGTCAATTTCCTTCTCTCACATCTTTTATATGTACAAACGTGAATAACTGTAACAATAAATCTTCACACGCACGATGACCACATTAAGTGGATTTATAGAATTCTTCCAGAAAGGCAAGGTAAAGACGGCTGTTAGTTTGTAGCATGACCACAAATTTTAGGATAAACTAACCTCAAATCAAAAGACTTACTGTAAAGCCGGGTCTATAAAGCTGGAAACACAATAGACACAGGCAATAGTCACAGGCAAAAGGGAATAACGAGCCGTCCAATCAGAGCTCTGGGATATAATATCGAACTTATACCCCAAAGCTCTGATTGGACGGCTCGTTATTCCCTGTTTCCTGTGCCTATTGCCTGTGTCTATTGTGTTTCCAGCTTAAGAGTTGGTAGTTTATATAGTCGATGAGTCGGAAACGAATCCGAAGGATAATTAGTGAGTCGAGATTGGTCGAAATCAGTAAATCGATAGAGTTGCCCAGCAGTCAACTTCTAATTGTAAAGACCATGGCACACAAAAAATTTAAGTAGTAAGATGTAAGCAGTAAGGAAATTAATATGTTGGATTGGCTTCTAATTACATTATGGCCTACGAACTCTACTGCAATTGGTCAATTCGCTTACGTCTTACTGCTTAAGTTTTTTGTGTACTATGGCCCTAAAATTACCGACTATCAACTTATTATATTAGGTTTTTTTTTTGTGACAGAATTAGTGTACTTTTGTAACTTCAAATGAGATAGGTATATGTTTAACATGTGGCGAAAATGAGAAAGAGTGCAGTCTAGTGCAAGAATAAAAAATAGATATATCCTAGACTGTTGTAGACTCAAACTAACAGTGAGCTAACCCACATTTTATGAAAATGAAATAAACGTAATGTAAGAGCCATTTAAACTAACTCTGATTAACTTAATGAACATGGACACATTTTTATTAAATAATATGAATAAAACTATCAAATTAGTTAATGGAATTATACAAAGTTTGCAAAGGTTCAAAGAATTAAAAATTTCAAATAAATATCAACAAAAGCCATACATGCTATTGGTATAACAAATTCTGATTTATATATTACAATATATTTAAAATTTCAAACGTTTTAATCTTCACAGGACTATAATATTCTCAGTGGATAGTAACTTACAATCAGACAGTATCATAAAAACTTCTTTACATCAATCATGTCCTTGTTACAGAATTAAAAATATATATCTCCATTTTATATTCAAAATATATCGCTCAAACAAGAAAATATCAGTACGAAAAGAGCGTAGTCATAAATATAGACAAAATATTGTGTTGACACTTAAACTATATGGAAGGTAAGTAGATTATTAAACTTATACAAAATTAAAATTATTTTAATCACATAACTAGTGGACATATTCTTATTGGTAAACTTATAATTAATTTTAACATACCTTGAATAATATGACAATAGATGGAAGTTAACATATTGAGATAATATGACCAAACAAATAAAAATTAAATGGATCGAAAGAACAATTGAAATGAAACAGAGGAGTAAATGTTGAATATTATAATAAACAAAAAACACATGACAAAGGTGGGGAGACGTTTTGATGCAAATTAATACAGGAAGAAGGTACTGATTATGAGGTTCATACTGTGGGGATCAATTGGGAGATAATGTATCTAGGATAGGGACAGATACGATTCTGAAAGAAATTCTACGTCATTTTGTTTATTTAAACCATTTTTCTTTTATTTAATTATGTGAATCATCCCTGAAATTTATCTTCTGCTGTAATACCTTTTATTGTCTAAAATCTAGGCTGTGTTCCAAAATTCACAGCCAATACTGAACATTTATAATACACGTAACGTAAACTATAGATTTTTAGCCCTAAACTCTTTTCCAGTCAAAATTATGACTATTATTTATTCTATACTTCGAAATGATAGATGGAGACCCACTTTTCTTTTTTATATCGAAAATATATTCTTCTCTCGTTTTGTTTTAGTCAACATACATTATGTCACAGTCTTGGCAGAAAATCTTATATCTTATATACATTGTCACTATGAGTCATTAACTTAAGGGTTTTTACTCGTTTTTATAAATATTTTTAATGTATTCGATATCGGAAAATCTGTTTTTATTTTATATCTTTTTGTAATTGATAAAAAAATTTTTGAAGATGTTCTGCATAAATAGTACATCGTTTTTCTTTGATTATAGATTCATTAATAGAATTTCTCAATCGTCTTTTTTTATGGAAAGATAAAGAATTCAATCTATGTAGAATTGTGGAAAAAATAAAGAATAAAGAATAATACACAGTCGTCAATAAGGAAATTGATAGTACCTATGAAGTTCTTTCTATAGCAGGATCTGGAAAGGAGAATTATTTTGTCTACCACGCCATAGACCACATCTGTTTTGTATGATAAAAGATAGTAAAAACAAAAATTCAAATATCCATCAGAAAATGTAGTTTTTTAAAATATAAATCAAAAGATAATTTGTTATAATTACAGTGACATCCAAAAAATTCATACAATTGTTGTTTTCAACATTCTCCATCTTGAATTCCATGCAGAGAGTTAAAAGTGAAACATGGCATCTCAAGTTAAACATGGCGCAGTTAGAAAGATGTCATCAATATACCTCATATAAAACGGCAAACGAATTGGTAGTAACTTTAATACCCTTAACTGTAAATCTTATAACACAAAATTCATCACGACGGAAGATAGGGGAAAGCCCATAGAAGCGCTTTTAAAAACGTATACATTTGTTTATAAAAATGTGTTCATAAAAACAATATACTCTTTCCTTTATTTCCCGTCGTGACGAATCTTGTGCTATAAGATTTAGAATTAATTATTAGAGTTACTAACCGATATGTTTGCCCCTTTATGCGAGATACGTTGACATCTTTCTAGCTAGACTCCATGTGTCTATTAGACGCTATGCAATTCATTTAATTGTATATTTGACATTTAACTCTTTGTACGAACATATGCAATTCACGATGGATGTTGGAGGAAACAATCGTTTGAATTTTTTGGATGTCACTGCAATTATAACGAATAACAAGTTATCATTGATTTATATAAAAAAAACCTACATTTTCTGGTAAATATCTGAATTTTTGTTCTCAGCACCCTTTACCTCACAAAAGAGACTTATGACATAGTAGACAAAATAATTCTTTTTTCATATCCTGCTTTCCATAGAAATAACTTCATACATATATGCTATCGATTTCCTCATTAACAATTGTTATCCTTTATTCTTTATTCTTTTTTCCACAATTCGTCATAGATTGAAATATCTTTTTCACAAAAAGAGACGGTTGAAAAATTCTGTTAATAAACCTATAATCAAAGAAAGATGATTTACGTTTCTATTTATTGAGAACATATCCGAAAGTTTTTTATCAAGTACAAGAAGATGTAAAAACATGTTTTTCGATACATTTAAAAGTTTTATAAAAATGGGGACTTTTTTGAGTTAATGTGACGTTGTATATAAGATATAAAATTTCCTGTTAAGACTGTGACGCAACAAACGTTGGCTAAACAAAATAGCGATTAAAAACTCCTGATAAGCATGTTTTGTAAAATCATACAATTTAATGCTGAGCATAAATTTTCGACTAGTTGCTGTGTATTTGCTGAAAACATAATACATAATCATACATATTCAACAACACGAGGGCAGATTCGAAACATTTTGTGTCAGAATCAGAGCAAACGGAGAACTGTTGCTCATTTTGTTGTCAACAAAATGACTTCCATTCATGGAAAATTTTTTGATTCGTCATTCATTTTCAATAACATAAGAGGATCACGACGGTAACAAGAAAAGATAATGATATCTGGGCTTCTGTCGTATATTTGTTAAATAGTTTGAAATATATTAATCGTTAAAAAATTACAAAACGAGCTTTTTGGAATCGGCGCTGTAATGATTGCGCAATTTTAATTCGATTAATCGAAAACAGTCTTCAATAAATAATCTCTGTCGAACGTTTCGGCTAACTTCTAGCCTTCATCAACGAATGTATCAAATAAAATTCATAAAATTCCGTGGTTTCACTCCGACATCAAATTTCCCATAACCAGTTAATAAGCTGGATGGTCACCGATGTTTGACCTCGGGCGTTCGTCATATACAAATTATTACTGCACACCATAATTGTCGCAAAATACAAAACGACGATACTTAAATGAATATAATAAAATGTAACACAGTGGTGATGTTCATGTTGCGATGTCACTCGTAAATTCGGATTAGCGCTACATAATTAAATCAGGATTAGCGCTACATAATTAGTGTTCGCTTTTTAAGAAACACCCTGTACACTTAAAATTTTAACTATATTCTCCGCTATCAATGTATAGAGAGCCTCACATGGAGAGAGTGGCAAACTACATCACGTGATCCGGTCTCCTGTCATTGGACCTGGTAATCAAACTCTGCAGAGCCATGGTGGGGGTATACCGTTTAGGTTAGATGACTGCAAAAGCAGTACGCTTGTCACTTTGTGCTGCTTTTCTCCTCAATTTTACAATTGATAAGGTCTTTGTAAGTGATATATATTATTAATCTTGGAAATATATACCTTCCTCTATTGTACATATATACATGAAATAAAATTACGAATTTTAACTTTTCAGATATCTGAACAGGATTTGTGCATATTATAAAATGCCTGCCAGGTGCAGTGCTCCAAGATGCAAAAACTCCAATAAAGAAGAATATTGCTGCACATCATTTGCCCAAGATGCAAACTCGAGACAAAAATGGATTGATATTGCCGGAATTCCTAATTGGAAACCTTCAAATCAGCTTTACTGTGTGAGTTTGGTACCGAAGCGTACATATAAATATTTTATAATGTAACTCCCGTAAACACCAACAAACATAACATCAATGTTATAATTTTTCACTCAATACCAATATATTAAATTCAATATAATGCGAGTGTATGTAACAATTGCATAGTTGCGTTAAAAATTGTGTGAAATTTTTCTCTAACGTGTATCTCTTATTTTTTAGATTTATTTCCATTCATCAAAATTATTCCGCGTTGGTAGCAAAAAAATTATGAAGAAAGGTGCCATGCCAAGTTTGTTTTGCAAATGTGATGAATCCGTAAAATTAGAAAGAAGGAAAAGATTGAAACATTTATAATGACAGTAAAAAATTGCCAATTTTATGTGATTGAATTATCAGTATTTTTCTTTTCTTGTTATAGATGTGACAATTTATAATAAATGATGTGTAATATATCTTAAAAATTTATGTTTAATAAATATTTCATATTTTTCTTGATTAATGACATAATTTTTTATGATGTTTGTAATTAATTTTTTATGTTTCTTACGATTAAAAAATCAAACACAATTATTTTGCCATAAATTTTATTTTTATTATCAAACCACTTTAATATTAAAAACATATATATATTCAAACTTTAAATTTTGAAATCTTAATCAGGCCTGGGGCCGAGTTGCATATTTCAACCGATTTTGCCTATCGTCATCCCTACTCCTTTTGTTTCATGACATATAGGCCGATATTCATAGTCAGATCTTATATTTAAGACCGTCTTAAGTACAGTCTTAAGATGTCATGAACCAATCAGCAGGTCGCATTAGCGACTTAAGACATTACTTAAGACGGTCTTAAAATAAGAACAGACTATGAATACCGGCCTTAAACTGCGCGCGGAGATATAAGACGCTCGAACTCAGGGATGATATTAGATTATATTAATTCATACAGAGAGAGAGCACTATAGGGCTATAGGACTTTAAAACATATTGTCTCACATTCACATGTAATTAATTTTTACACGAATGTAAGTTAAGTTTGCATACTGAAAAAAATATTTAAAAAGTAATTTTTAATAAATAAATCAATAAAATAAAATAAGTGTATGTTACGAAAAGGAGTGGGAATGACGATAGGCAAAATCGGTCGAAATGTGCAACTCGACTCCAAGGTCTTAAGTAGTTATAATCGTTAATAAATTCTATATAAATAGCATGTATATCATGATCAAAAGTAATATTACAAGTTTTATCTCTTATAATAAGACGTCTTACAGAATTTATACAATTGGAAATATGTGCAAAATTAACCATTATGGTCAAGGAGTTAATGCATTACATAGTTGCGTGAAATGTAAAGGGAGTTAATGCATTACATAGTTGCGTCAAATGTAAAGGGCTTTACATGCGCCAAATCATCCTGTAAATGATGAAATCTTTCTTTTAAAATTTCATTTTTTGTATAATATTTTATAATTTAATTTGCTTTAATTCATAGGTTTGTAAGAATTTAACATTCATATTCAGATATCATTGATATTGTCTTTATTTTGCAGATACTATTTCATTAGCTGATTCCTCTAACATTTTTATGTCCACAGGCAGTTTTTTTACGCAACAGCTATCATTATGAATAACATGTATTTCAATTTTTTTCTTTTTAATTTTACAGATTCATTACATTTGCAAAACAAACTTGGTATGGCACCTTTCCTCATAACATTTTTGCTACCAACGTGGAATAATTCTGATGGATGGAAATAAACCTAAAAAGTAAGAGGTACACATTAGAGAAAAATATCTGTCCCACCAACTGTCATTAACGTAACATCAATATATTAGAATTTTTCACGCAACTACGTAATCGTGTTACATACACTCGCATTATTTTGAATTTAATATATTGATATTGAGTGACAAATTATAACATTGATGTTATTTTTGTTGGTATTTATGGGAGTTACATTATAAAACATTTCTATGCACGCTTCGGTACCAATCTCACACGATAAAGCTGATTTTGAAGGTTTCTAATCAAGAATTTCGGCAGCATCATTCCATTTTTGTCTCGAGTTTGCATCTTGGGTAAATGTTGTGCAGCAATATTCTTCTTTATTAGAGTTTATGCATCTTGGAGCACTGCATCTGGCAGGCATTTTAATATGCATAAATCTTGTTCAGATATCTAAAATGTAAAAATTCGTGGTTTTATTTCATGTATATATGCACAATAAAGGAAGGTATATATTTCCAAGATTAATAATATGTATCAGTTACAAAGACCTTATCAATTTTAAAATTGAGGAGAAAATCAGCACAAGGTGACAAGCGTACTGCTTTTGCAGTTATCTAATCTAAACGTTATACCCCCACCATGGCTCTACGGAGCTTGATTACCAGGTCCAATCAGAGCAGATCGGGTCACGTGATGCAGTTTGCCACTCTCTCCCTATGAGTCTCTAAATACGTACGCTCGTACAGATATTTCGATTTTTAATTGCATATAAATAATTCATGCGATATGAGATTATATAAGATTGATATATTGTTACGTCCAAGCCCTTGGAAATGCGTTTAAACGGGAGAGACAAGGATGGAGTTGTAGAGGGTATGGAAGGACGTTTAGACTTTATCTCGCAGGTATACGCACAGTAGCGAACACCTGAGAGTCGACGCACTTCCTATCGGTCCGGAATATGGGTCAACGTCCTGAAGGGTCGCTATAACGCCTGTTTCCTTTAGCAGTGCGTACGTCGGTCTAATTTTGAGTCAAAGAAATAAATCTTTATAACTCGGGAGTGGACCAGGTTGGATCCTTGGGAAACGGCGAAAGTACGAGGTCTTTTGAATTTAAAAATCAACTGAAGAAAATTATTTTAAATAGAATTTCATTTTATTACTAAAGTACATTACAAAAAAAATGTGATAGCTATTGAGTTTATATGAACTTTATAATTAAAGTTAAACATAATCATAAATTTTATAATTGAATTGAAGTATACATAATTGTCGAGAGTTTGCATAAATTTTATAATTAAATTAAAACATAAGTTTTGAGTTTACATATATTTTGTAATTGAATTAAGTTAAAGATGATCACTAGGTTTACATAAATTTCGCATAAATTTTATAATTACATAAAAATATAATTGTTGAGTTTACATATATTTCGTAATTAAATTTAAGTTAAAAATAATCATTAGATTTACATACATCGAAGAAAAACTTGACAAGTTGACATGATTAGTGGTACATCGGTACGATTATTGATTAATTTGTGCGCTATTGAGTTTGATAGTGTTATGTGTGTGTGTGTTGTCGGAGAGGCAATACATGTTAGGTTGTTAATTAATTTCGTTAATTATGACGGAGAAAGGGGGAAAGGTGTCATTGAAGAAGTCAATGGGGACTAAATATGGGAAGGGGGAAGAAGGAATATACACTGCTATGTGTATATTGGGAGGATGTCCGGTTATGACAGCGCGGAGCTCTTCAGGATCAAAGTAATTCGGGCCGATCGTGTAAATGCCCGGCGGGAGAGGGTCGGTGGTACGTGGGAAGCGGCTAATCATCGCATCGAAGGATTCACCCGGTTGGATGTACCGTCGGGTGAGTCTAGGGGGAGGAGCGGGGAATTCTTCAAGGATTTCCACGCTTGACGTGGAATTCGTAGGAGATAATGGACGAGGCGATGAGGGAGCGGATTGGAGGAAGGAGTCAGGAGTTGTGCGGTGGGGTATCCGGGAAAATGCACTCCGTCAGAGCGTCTGAGAACGCGGGTGACGGAGATCGCGGGGGAGGTGAAGGAGGTATTGCCTCTATGTTTTCTATATTTTGTTGTTGAGGTGGAGGGACCGGCAGAGCCGGTGGTGGTGAATAGGACGGTTGACGTGCGTCCTCGACTCTAGAGATGTCTCTAAGATACTCCTGGAACGCTACGATCAAGAGTTCTCGTGCCTCGAGGTAGGCCCGACTTCGGCGCCAACCTCGGTAAGAGCGGGAGCGGTTTCCCCGAAATCTCACTGCGGATCGAATTTTATTAATTCGCGAAATGGCAAAAAGGAAAAGAAATGGGGGGAACTTACTGTTATCTGACAGAGCGGTGAGACTGGATAGTTAGCCCTCGGTTCGCTGGACCTCTCCAACGGTTGACTTCTTCTGCGCACTGAATCTAATGTTTCAATGCACTGTTTAGTGCTAAAGTGTACGCACCGAGTTGACTGACTATGTAAAAGTGTACGCACTGAGTTTACTGACTGTGCAATGAGTTTACTGACTTTTTCTATCTTTCTGCCCTGTGTCTCGCGATGTCGCGGTTTATATAGGGATAGTTTAGGGGGAGGTTCCATGGTAGGGTATGTCTGATTGGGAAATTGGGGAATCAGGTTTGCAGGATTCTGAGGTGATACAGTTTTGGTTCGTCATTGGAAAATTGCCTTCCGTTTAGCTCCGCCCGCTGTGTCATTTTTTATTCGTTCTCACGTTGAACGATGGATAGATATCTCTGCCATAGATTAGTTAATCGAGAGTCGCGGTTCGTGTTGATTTTTCTCAGTGTCGGAAAATGTCATTACTAGATTTATAACCCTGTCTTAAGCCTAAGCGTGGGACCATTATCGTTGGGCCCGCGTGATATCGGTGTGATATGGTTAAACATTTCATCTTCTTTCGAGCGTCAGTCCGCGCTATCGCTCTTATTATCGCGGGGATTATTTCATGGCTTGGCTTAGCCTTGGTACCAACATTGTTTGATGATTATTTGATGTTGATTTTCGTTTTCCACGATGCTCAAAAAAAGGTTTGATAGTCAATGCTACGAGAGAGTTTTTATCGCGGATCTTTCGATTCTAGGCAATCATTTCGTGATCTGGCTTAGCGCCTTGGTACCAACGCTATTTGGTGATTATTTGATATTGACTTTCATTTTCCACGATGCTCGAAAGGAGATTTAACGTTTGATTATCGGCACTATGAGAGAGTTTTTATTGCGGGTCTCTCGATTCTAGGCAAACAAGATTTTGTGGCTGGAACTTTTCTCGGATTTGTGTTATCAATTGGATTTGTTCATATCTTACTTCGTTGATTGAACGGTCGCGAAACGAAGAAATCGTGGAGTCCACCGGACGTAACAATATCATATTTTACAATAAACTTTGGAGATGGTACACGAAATGACACAGAATTTCTTTGAGAATCATACCTGCCCTAGATGTATTAACTCCCAGTTGAATCTAATAGTACCTCCTTCTTGATTAATTCGTATTAAAAGTATCCTTTCCTTTATCATGTCATTTGTCTTTTATTTATTATAACGTTCAACGTTTGCTCTTCTGTCTTATTTCAATTGTTCTGTCAATCTAATTAACTTCCATTTGTTTGGTCATATTATCTCAATCTCTTAATTTCTATCTGTTGATCATATTATTCAAGATATGTTACAATTAGTTATAGCGAATGCAGCACACATGCACTGATTCTGCTCTAGTGCTACCCTGATATGATGCGAGTATAGAACCACTTTGGTGTTATGCCAAACTGTACTGTCAGAAACGTCAGTGCAACATTTGTTGAATTCGTTCAGTTCATTCAGTTGGTCCAAATATAAATTCAGCACTACACTGGGTCAATTTTCATTTGCCGAATACGACAATCTGAACGCACTGATACAGTAAACACAAGCCGAGAGTGTGGCACTAAAAAAGTTTGAACTCAGTGGGCACTAGTACAGTCTGTCGAATCCACTATTAGTTTACGATTAAGAGTATATTCACTAGTAAATGTCGTCCTTTAATACTTTATGTATAAGTTTAATAATCTACTTACTTTCCTTACAATCTAAATATCAACACAATATTCTATCTACATCTACTACACTCTTTTCATATTGATGTTTTCTTGTTCGAGTAATATATTGTTATATTTTGAACACAAAATGGAGATCTACATTTTGATTCTGTAACGAAGACTGGACGGATATCAAGACATTTTTATGGTACTGATTGTAAGTTATTGTTGATCGCTGAGGATGGTCCTGTGAAGACCAAAACATTTGAAACTTTAAATATATTGTAATATACAAATTGGAATTTGTTACACAGCGTGTTTGACTCATTGTCATTTATTAATACTTATTTTTAATAGAATTATATTTAATATATCGGAAAAAAATTAAGGACAACGAACTGTCGTGTTAGGGATATTGTTTTATTCTATTGATCGATTTAATCGTCAATTAAAGTTAATCGGAATTGATTGAAATGGCCCGCTTCTTTATTTTCCGATTAATTTGTGATTACATTTAAACTGATGATAATGTAAATATTACATTTTTCTAGCTATGGTCATTAAGGAGGTTGTAAGGCAAATGCAATATGTTAAGAACTACTTGAAAAAATTACAGACTATTCTAAATTTCATTTAATAATAATACAAAAAAAATAGAAACAATTGACCAT